CCATTATGGTGCCAAGAAATCATTATCATTTGTGTTTTTATCAGGAGCAAATGTGACCTGCCACCGCTTTCCCCATGCTGATATAGCTGTAAGTTGGCGTTTGATTACTAAACGTCAGGGGAAAGTACATGCCTGGGATTCTGGGATTAGATGAAAAAAAGATCATTGAAGTGCACATTCCATAATTCTCCAAGCATACTAACTATCCTGTGAACACTTGCACTAAAAGTGTCTAGTTGACTATTCCTGGAAGGTAATCACTGAGGAGACTCCAAGTGCTTCCAGTTTTACCAAGAGTTCCTGCTGCCATAGTCAGCCAAAATCAGCAGCTATGTCCAGCGATACTACACAGCTAATCTTGAATTCGTCCGGTGACTGTTGCCACTTAGTGGATAGATTTAACATTAGATCAGCAGCATTAGCGTTTTGTGAAAAAATATTGGCGGTCAGAAACAAACGAATAGTAGTCTAAAAACTATGTCATCTTCCATGAGATTATTGTCTCAAGAACTTTGCCAGTGATTGACAGGAGTTGCTCATTTCCTCTCTGCTTTTCTTTTTGTGAACAGGGAATACATTTACATTTTTCCACCCAGAAGGCTATTTACACTGTGCTAGTGTTAATAGATAGAAACTGGAGGTAATGTAAGCTATATTGGACTCAACTCATCTAGGCCCGCGGCCTTTTCTTGTTCCAGGGATTTAAGGAGAGGATACACTTCATCCTGCCTTGTCACCATTGGCATTATTGACACAATTCTTGTGGCTAGCCGAGGAAATTTCCTTGCTGGATCAAGAACTTGCATCTTGGCAGGAAAGTGTTCGGTAAAGAAGCCAGTTTTCTCCTGATTGCTAGTAGAGATGGTCCCATCCTGCCGGTTTAAAGGCGAAATAACTTCATTAGGTGAATCTTGTGGTCCTTGACTAAGGACCACCAGCTTCTGAAGCCTACTCTATCTGACTTTAGCTTTCTTGTTGTGTCAGCCTCCTATTTGGACTTCTTCCATTTGCTAACAGGCTTGCCTGTGCAGGTTCCTGTTATAGATTGTGTAATGCCTTTTATACTTTCTGCAAGCCTTGAATTTAGCAGTAGCAGTTTATTGACAATGAAAGGCGAACCAATACTGATTTGAAGGCTTCCGCACATACTACAGCTGATGATTGTATTTTTGTTGGAGATTAAGGACGTGTTCAGTGAAGGCATTAATTGTCGACTTGACCTTAGAGAAGAGCATTCCAACTATAGGTCGCGAGCTCTTTTGGGCTATGCTAGGATGATCGTACATGACCACTCATACCTAAATGAACCCCCATGACTACTTTCTTACTACTGGTGTTATGTCACTCATGTTGCAGTCTGTATTGCAGCACACCACCTAGGTCCTAGAGCACCTGTAACATTACACCTTTAACATTACGATACCTGTATGCAGTAGTAGTTGGGTGACCGTCGGTATAACCCACCCATCTACTACTGTATACAGGTATCGTAATGCTACAGGTGCTCTAGGTGGTGTGCAGCAATACAGACTGCAACCTGAGTGACATAACATCAGTAGTAAGAAAGTCATGGGGGTTCATTTAGGTATGAGTGGTCATGTACGATCATCCTAGCATAGCACAATAGACAGGCAGAGTAACCTAGTAATGTCCTAACCCGTCTAGGTACAGCGGCACAAGGTACACATAGTTGACTGCAACATGATGATTGTAACTAGTTTAGTGGTTTACTGAATTAGGTTAGTAAAATTATAATGATAATGATAATAATGATAGCAGCGGATGATAGTGAGAAATAATGATAGTAATAGTGTTAAAAAGGAAAAACAATCATAAATTACCTAGTTATACAAGAAAGAAAAGCCTGAATAGGAGAATTCAGACATATTAATTGATATCGGGTATTACTGGTTCACAAAATGAGGGATTTAATTCTATTTCTTTAGTTAGAAGGTTGTTCACGTTATCTTCATTATGTATGTAAATGATCCACTATTGCAATGTTACTTCTTACATTACTTACTTCTTAAACTTAGGGTTGGCTATTAACTATCTTCTAGTTATTTTACCTTATGCTATCTGCAAACTGTGGGGCCTACCCCACCCGACCCCATGTGTGGTGGGGTGTGGGGGGACCAGTGTGTGGTTGGCATTCCACTGGCACCTCTCCCTCAGTCAGAGACTCGTTGGTGCCACCGCACTACCATCTTCTGTAAAAATTTACTCTGGTTTGCCTGTTGCTGCCCCAGCAACATTGCACAGCTCCCGATGATGCACTAAGTGTGAAAGTAATTGAACTAAAGATTACCAACCCACGTGGCTTGTCTTTGTGTGTGTGTTTGTGTGTGTATGTGGTGCCGAATAGGTGAAACTGGTTAATTAGCAAGAACTCATTTAAAATTAAGTCCTTTCTAAAATTTTCTCTTACACATTTAAAGATAGATTTTTTTCATTTATGGTAATATAAAAATTAATGATTTTGTACCAAAAGAACCCTAGGAAACTTATCTAACCTTATTATAACAAGCACAATTTTATTTAGCCTAGTTCAACTAAAAATATTTAATGTAAGTTTACAAAATTTAATAATAAACAAACACAATGAAATATACATTATTTTCGTTAGATTCAGAACTTTTTTTGCGAAATTATTGTATACATAAATTTTCGCTTGTCCTATTCGGCAAGAAGTGCATTCTCATTTAATCCAAAAATCGTAATATACAGTGCTAGTCACGGCATTATGCCGCCCCTCCCCCACACATGTACCAAAACACAAACACATATCATGAAAGATTATAATATATATTTTCACACTTAATGAAGTTTTAATACTTGGTGCTTCGTCCTTTATGCTTAATCACGTCCCTCAGCCATGTGGGAAGAATCTCACACAAATTCTTGAGGGTTTGAGGAAGTATATTATTTCATGCCTCATGTAGAGCAGCCTCCAGCCGCAGGATGGAACTGATATCCTTCCCCAGTAAACTTTGTTTGACTATTGACTAGAGGTTCTCAATAGGGTTTTAGGTCTGGGGAATTGCCTGGCTAGTCAAGAAAGAACCTCACTTCACAGTCCTTAAGAAACTGAACTACAGATTTAGCAGCATGACATGGTGCACCTTCCCACAAAAATATCATAGCCCCACACTTGTCAAATGCCTCGTGTAAATTGTCACACAATACCTCCAGGTAATTATACTGGTTCATATACTGGTTTTTGGGAAACACAATGAGTTCACCAACACTGAGCACTGAAACACCCCCAAACCACGAGCGAGTCTGGGTGTTTGTGGTCCCACAGATGTAGTGCAGGTCTAGTGGGTCACTACCTCTGGACTGGTACACATGTCCCCCACGGTTACAAGTGACGGTGGAGGTTGCTTCATCACTCCAAAGTACTTCAGACCAGTGTTGAGGATTCCAGTGAAGATATTTCTTTTCATAATCCAGCCTACGTTTCTTCTGTGGCTTGGAGAGGATCGATTTCTTAACCTGGCACTGACTACTGTAGGCCAGTTCTGACACACGTTTGTTAACAGTTCTTACAGACACCTCTGAGAGAAGATGATGAATCTTTTCTTTCAATTCTCTAGTAGTTATCTTAGGTGTACTTTCTGCTTCTTCAACACAGTTAAGGTACGGACAGATGTCTTCTTCGTGGGGCCAGGCCGAGGTTTGGCAGACGGTAACTCGACACCACCATCAGCCTTGAAACACTGCACCCAGTTCCTCAGTGAACGTTCACACACACACCATCATTTCTTTCGTCTGGTGCCCAGCTTTGTGAAGCCCTGTGATTTGAGCTACAGTTTCAGGTGTTAAAGACTTCCTTTTACCCATAATCAAACATGTATAACCCCAAAACCAAAGGAGTGTGGAGTGTGGCGGCAGGCTCTGACGTCATGCTAACGGCTGCTACCCGGCATAATGCACTGATAAAAAAAAAACCTGTATGGTAGGCCTTTGATTTTCATCACTGCATTATGCCGTGGCACTCACCCGGCATAAGCCGTGACTAGCACAGTACTGTACGCTAAAATCGTCTTATGAATAATGTGTACTATCTGGTACATTGCTATGATGAGGTTTACTCATAAGTACAAGAGTAATATACATGTATAAGTGTGAATGTTCGGAATATGCTCGGTGGATCGACTCGACATAGACTGAGAATATGACGAATAAAACGTCCCTAGATAAGCTAACTTCTAGATCATCGAGGCAATCAGCTTGTTTGAACAATATGATGGCACATTCGCCAAACAGCGGTAATGCTCAAAGCAGCAACGAACAACACAGTGTAAGTCGAAGAATCAAGGAGTGCCAAGTGACCCTAACTGTGCACCTTGAAAAGATCTTACACAAAAGGTATAAAACTCCCATATTACTGAAACTGAGTTCAACAATTCCAAATTCCCGAGTACAACAGTACACAGGTACCAGAACGATGAAGGTCGAGAGTTGAACTTGGGACAAGAGATATAGTGTCTCCCGACACAATCTCTGAAAAAGTTCAAATATCACTAAGTCTAAATAATGCTCTGTGAACAGAGTTGCACTGAGTTATGAGATTATTTCACAGCTCACCAACAGAGACGTTACCAAAAAGAGTCTAAATAACATGAACTGAGGAGAACAGCAGAGACAGAGATGTTACCAAAACCAGGAACAGCCACAGAAAGAGAGAGAGAGAGAGAGAGAGAGAGAGAGAGAGAGAGAGAGAGAGAGAGACAGACAGACAGACAGACAGACAGACAGACATACAGAGAGACAGGCCCTATAGATCCAACGTCTGGTGACTCATACCAGCTTAACCATGGCACGAACCACGAAACAGGCGGGCAGGTAGTTAGCAGCATGCTGACAGTCAATCGAAACTCTCCATCATTGAGCACAATACTGTTTTTGTTACATCCTACCTATGAGCATAACTAATAATATAAGTCTGCATATTGTAATAATATTTATTAAAAAACACACGTATCCTTGTATTCTAGGTGCACCAGACAGTGTGAGAGACTGTGTGTTAACCAATCAGTCAGCTGGGTCACTACACGTCACCTGCCAACCAGGAGCAGATGGCGGTCTTACCCAAACCTTCAGGTAAGTCTTTCATGTTCCATTACATCTTTACCGAAGATCGAACCTGGATGATTTTCTTGGTGTCTAGCAGACTTTTCCAGTGAACCACAATAATCGATATTTTTTCAATTTCTCGTAAGATTTATATAGCAAGTTTATTGCATTGCATTTGTTTATGATTCTCCTTGCTGTTTTAGAGACTAATTGATACATAGAGAGATTAACACATAAAAAAAAATAATAGATAAAAGGTTAGACATGTAGATTCATAGATAGTCAGAGAGGGAGGGAGAAAGGGAAGGAGGAAGGGAAATAGATTGATAGAAAGAAGGGAAGAGAGAGAGAGAGAGAGAGAGAGAGAACATTTGATAGATTAAGATATAGCTAATTAACAGATCGAGATTATATATATATATATATATATATATATATATATATATATATATATATATATATATATATATATATATAGTGATTAACTATCTGGAGTCACAATTACTTGCCAAATCAGTGGCTGTGTTGGATTATCTAACCACGAAGGTGTCTTCACAACACTGAAGATTCCAAGGGAACGAGCCGAAGAATATGTCAAAGCCTGAGCTCGCTGTCTCTGATTGGAATGCGCTTTTCCAATGGGATGTTGATAACCAAATAAATGCCTTCACTGAATACAACTTCATTTCCGACGAAACCCATCCTTCACCTGCAGTGTGTGACGAAGCCTTTAGTTCAGATTTGGATCGGTTTTTCGTTGTCGAGAGGCTGCTACTACTAAATATAAGTCTTAGAGAAGGTATAAGATGTTAGTTATTATTTTGTCCTAGGCTCATGTAGATTATACACTAGGCCTGTTACCCCACTTTCTATGAAAGGAACCTTTACAGGCAATCCTGTTGCCAAACAGATGAAATCCGAAAGTGAACTGTCTCTAGATGGGAGGCTGACACAAAAAGAAAACTGGCATCTTGATTATTTCCCGATGAAATTATTCCGCTTCTAAATCGGCAGATGGCACCATCTCTACTTGCGGTCAGGAGAAAGCTGACCTCTTTGCTGAAAACTTTGCTACTTATATGCAAATTCGTGATCCAGCAAGGAAACCTTCTTCAATAGCCGCAAGAGCTGTGTCAAAGTTGTCAATGGTGACAATAGTGCAGGATGATGTATATCTTCTCCCCCCCCCCCAAAAAAAAAGGCTGTGGGCCCAGATACGAGGAGCACAAGATTGCTGAGTATATGTTCAGATCAGCTAGCCGCAACTCTAACTTGCATCTATAAACACAGTCAAGCATAGTGCAAATGGCCTCTTTACAAAAAGAGGAACATAGCGGAAATCAGCAACTACAGACCAGATGACAGGGTTTTGGATTACCACTCGCTTCTTTGTGACCGTCAGTATGGTTTCAGAAAAGGTCACTGTGCTACTGACCTGCTATTAAACCTCTCCACTATGTAGCACCATTCACAGGACGAAACCAAGATCAACTGTGTAATAGCGCTGAGAACTGCTGTGCTTTCGAAAGAGTAAGCCACCTGGGAACTTGGCAAACCTACAAACATTAAGAGTCGCCGACTCTGCACTATGCATCCTCAGTGATTACCACAGGGTATATGGATATCTAAGCACATATGGATATCTAAGCCAATGTTTTGGAATGTCTACTTAAATTACCTTCTTCGTATCATCCCAGAATCCTTTGCATGTGCAGATGATTGTACTCAGACACTGACTTATCCAAAAGAGAAAATGCCAGCTGCTCTCTCTCCCTGGCATATAGCTATATCAGTCAGTGGTAAAACGATAGCAGGTCACATTTACTCCTGAGAAAACACAAAGAATGATGGTTTCTGATCATCATGATGGTAATGCTGTAGCAGTAGTAAGAATGAATTGGAGTTTTGGTACCCAGGGATGAAGTTGATGTCCTTGAGGTAAAATTTGACTCCAAACTGACTATGAAGAATCACGTTATAAATCTTCCAAACAAAACGGGAGATTACAGAACTTAGACATATCTCGACCCTTCTTGATAATGGAAGTTGCAAGATTCTGTACGAGGGATAGGTATGCTAACACCCTGAGTATGCTGTATTTTCTTGGATTTCCTGCCCCAAGTTTCATTTGCGACTTCTTGACAAAATAGAGAACAGAGCAAGACGATTCATCTGTAGCCTGGATCTGGCCTCGACAGATCGATCATTTCAGCAAAGCCTTCAAAACCGGAGAGATAAGTTGCCTTACTGATATGTACAAGGACAATATTATCAAAGTACCACACTTGGTTTCCCTCTGCAAAGAGCAAGAATTGAGCTTCAACGCAACAAAACGAGCAGTAAACACCAACTACACTCTAGATACATCCTTCTCAGGAACATAACCTCGTCTGAGATCATTTATTCCCTGGATGATGAGTCATGAACATGTTCGTACAGCATAATATCGTAAACGAAATAAAGTCAGTTAACGAAATGAAATTGCTGGCCTTTTAATAATAAAAAGGCTTTAAAATAAGCTAATGTAGGTAACATTTCGTAACTCTTAAATAAAGTTAGGAACCCTAAACCTAACCTTGTCTAACCATGTGTAAAAAATGGTAGATAGAGATAGAGAGAAAGACCATAGACCTACATTGCAGCAGCTGCCTCGGTGCCTTACCTTTCTCAAGGGCAGGCACTTTACACGTCATACACGCCCACCACAAGCTGACCACATCATGAGGAGCCAGTCTATCAGCATCCTGTCGGCCAACATTAGAGGTTTCATTACTAATGTTGGAGAGCTCACCCGACATGATAGCTGTTGTTGAAACATTTTTGGACGACAGGATTCCAGAAAACTTTGCAAGAATTACTGGCTGCACCTCATGGATGAGAAGAGAGAGGCAAGGGCAAGGAGGTGTTGCTGTGTGCTTCTCTAAAAGTGTTCATGCCCAGCACATTGATGTTGCCATCCCTACTCATCTTGAAACAATATTCTTCAAACTAAGCATAAACACTAGTACCTCTGTACTAGTATTTGCAATGTACAGACCTCAGTGATTACCTTCATGGTAGATCTCTAAGAGTAGTTCTCAATGGAACAGAATAAGCAAGACGCCCTATTGGGGCAAGTGTTCCACAAGGAAGAGTTCTGGGACCATTGTTATAGAATGTCTACTTCAATGACCTTCATCTCATCCCAGAATCACATGCATATGCAGACGACTGTACACTGACATTCACTTATCCAAGACAAGAAATGCCAGCTGTTCTAAGCTACATCAATCACCAGCTAAGAGCTATATCAGCTTGGGAAAATAGATGGCAAGTAACATTTGCACCTGAGAAAACACAAATGATGATCTCTAGGCACCATGATGGTAATGCTGGTGCAGTAGTAAGCATGAATGGGAGGGTGTTGGCACCTGGGGAAGAAGTTGATATCCTTGGGGTGAAATTTGACTCCAAACTGACCATGATAAACCACATTGTAAATCTTGCAAACAAGGCAGCCAGGAAGCTTACAGCACTTCGCCGTATCTCGTATCTGCTTGACAGTAGGGGTTGCAAGATTCTGTACGAGGCACAAGTACGCTCGCACCTTGAGTATGCTCCACTTTCTTGGTTCGCCTGCCCCCCCCCCCTCTCATCTTCGACTGCTTGACAGAGTAGAGAACAGAGCAAGACGTCTCATCTCTCCCCTGGACCCAGCCTGGATAGATCTGTCATTTCGGCAGAGCCTTCAACACAGGAGGGATGTGGGTGGCCTTACTGTTATGTACAAGGCCAATATTGTCAAAGTACCGCACTTGGATCCACTTCGAGGACAGAGTGAAGCAAGTTTCTATACCACAAGACGGGCAGAAAGCAGCAACTTCACTCTGGCTGTACCCTTCTCCAGAACATCACTCCATCTGAGATAATATATACCCAGGATGACTCGAGTCTGGAAAACATTCGTACAGCATAATGATGTCAACGAGATAAAGTCAGTTGATCAAATGAAAATGCTGGCCCACAGATGGCTCCAACTTCATCCTGTTCCTTACTTGTATGTCTCATAACAATAAAAATGCTTTCAAATTAGCTGATGTGGGTAACAGCTCTTAGCTTGCCAATAAAGTTAGTAATCCTTAACCTTGTCAAACCCTGTGTAAAAGAGAGAGAGAGAGAGAGAGAGAGAGAGAGAGAGAGTATATATAAGCTTACTCTCTCACCGGCTTCTGCCGTCATGGAAACAGGTTTAAAAAGGATTAGAATTTACAGGAGAGTTCGAAGAGGATTCAAGACATGAGGTCCAATCAAGTGGCGGACTTAAATTTTTGTTGCCCTGAAGCTTGAACTGTTATGGAGGCTCCTTCGCATCAAACTTCAATAACCTTTTAATTTTTATATTAACTATGATTTAGTATTGAATTACACAATATTATTATTAAAAAAAAAAAAACTCATACAGTAGACCCAAAATCTTTAAACAATGTGGATTAAAATCTCTTACGGAGCCCTTCCGGGTTTAGGGGCCTTCAAACCTAAGCTTCATTAGCTTCACAGCAGATCTGCCCCTGGATAGAGTTACCTGCGATTAATGCCGTTCCTTCCGTAATTACTTTGCAACACATAACTGCATGGTTTACTTCGACTCAAGTTATCACTAGTTCTTTTTCTGGACACAGGAGGGCACTGCTTTTACAGCAGTTTGGGCTGAGGGCTGCTGCTGTAAAGTGAAAATCGCTGTGAAGTGAGACACCCATTTTTCACTTTCAAATGCATATAAAATCCTGATAATATACTTACACTATCATATAGTAAGTGAGCGATATACAGTACGTGAGCGATATACAGTAAGTGAGCGATATACAGTAAGTGAGCGATATACAGTACGTGAGCGATATACAGTACGTGAGCGATATACAGTAAGTGAGCGATATACAGTAAGTGAGCGATATACAGTACGTGAGCGATATACAGTACGTGAGCGATATACAGTACGTGAGCGATATACAATATGTGAGCGATATACAGTAAGTGAGCGATATACAGTA